AACTCCACAATTTGGTAAATGGGGACCGCATGTGAATGCACCGTTAGCCTTGGTGGAGGTCTGCAGAGATGGTAAAAGTACACACATCCTTTACTTAATTAGAAGTACAGATACTCGTGTTAAAAAATATTCTGATAAAAGTAGAAGTACTCACTAAACTTCTTTACTCAAGTAAAAGTAAAGAAGTATGAGGCTTTGAAATGTACTTAAGTAAAAAGTACCCATAACTACCAGCTGTTTTAAAGAGTACCTGACCTCCCTTTATATTAATAGAACAATAATGTCATTGTTAGCTAATGAATGTTTCCATGCTGAACAACGGCAACATGACAACGTTTTCATTGGTCCCTCTTCTTTAGAGAAGACCAGGAAATGAAGGATACATGGATCGTGTTAAAATCAATAGGCACACAATGACTCTAAATAATAATGATCACGCCACCAAACATAGATTAAAACTGAAGTAACAAGCATGTTTTAAAAATGTAAGAAGTAGAAAGTGCAGGTATTTGTGTTAAAAATGTAAGAAGTAAAAGTAAAAAGTCGTCAGAAAAATAAGTAGTGGAGTAAAGTACTGATACCAGAAAAATGTACTTAAGTACAGTAACAAAGTATTTGTACTCCACTACTTCCCACCTCTGACATTTGCCAATTTGAAAGTTGAAATATTTGGATACAGGTGGGTAATGATGATAATAATGGAGATGATGCCATTATGTCCAATCAGGATATGACACGGAGGTGGGGGAGCGAGGTCTGAAGCTCAGCGGGGGGGAGAAGCAGAGAGTGGCGATCGCTCGAACCATCCTGAAAGAACCTCGGATCATTCTGCTGGACGAGGTGAGGAAACAGTGGGATTACCACACTTCAATACTTGCTTTATAACTAAATGTTACTTATAGACAAGAAGGTTAACCACCGGCAGAATTACAAAGGAACATTAAGGGTTAAAATATTCACTACAGGTCAGGTCGAGGCAGTATCATTCCAGGCCAAAAGGGAAATATCTTGACAGAAATGAAAGATTGCAACACTGAATATATTGTATTTATAACCTTTATATCCTTATAAACTTACCACCCACCATTTCTCCACTGGGGCGGATTTGGCTCTGTAGATTGAGCTGGTCATCTACTAATTACAGGGTTGGAAGTTGAATCAGTTATTATGGAGATTGTCTCTCCGTAGCTGCGTTCAAGTAGTATTTAATCACATTATACATATTACTTATATTAATTTGTACACACTATTATACTGTGTGTTGTTTACTCCACCAGGCCACGTCTTCACTGGACACCCAGACTGAGAGGAACATCCAGGCTTCACTGGCCGAGGTCTGCACCAACAGGACGACTGTCGTGGTCGCACACAGGTAACAATTTTTATTTTTTATTTTATTTTACCTTTATTTAACCAGGATAGGTCTCATTGAGATTAAAAATCTCTTTTTCAAGAGAGTCCTGGCCCAAGAATGGTAACAGCACAGTTTCAGACAGTTTTACAGTTACAATTAAAAAACACACAACCTCAACACAGTCATACCCCAAGTTTAGCCAAAGCATTTACAGACAAAGCGGCCTGCTTCAAGGTCAATTAAAGTTGCTTTGAGTGTTTCTAATGAGACCAGCTCTCTGAGTTTCAGCTCAGTTTAAAGCAGGTTCCAAGCTTGAGGGGCAGCGTAACTGAACGCTCTTTTCCCAAGTTCAGTACGGACCTTTGGTACAGTTAAAAGGAAACAGTTCTCGGAGCGAAGCCGATAGGATCCTGTGCATTTTCTATTTATGTACATCCTTAGATAAGGGGGAAGAGCACCAAGAATAGCCTTATATATAAGGATGTGCCAATGTTTCAGTCTACGCGTGGTCAATACAACAATACTACCAAGATATGTTGTTTAACTGGGAAAACCCTAATAAGTTGCATTTTTTTACTTGATCAGCAGCCACAATTTCTGAGTGTCAAGACACCAATTGGTGCAAATCATAGCCACTGGATGCCATACATTAGATTAGATTTGACTAGACTTATTGTCATTTCACAGAGAACAGCTACTGAGATAATGAAATACAGTGTTGAATTAAGATACAAAGCCAATTAACCTTCCAAAAATTGAAATTTAAACATTCTATAGCCAAACAAGGAGCAAATGTAGACACAGCTTTGCATACTAACAGGCTGACACTGACAATTTTAACATGATGATGTTTAGCCGTTTTTCTGTGCACTATCAGTCTAGACTAAAACAAGCAAAGGTCAGTTTCGTCGTGGCGCTCGAGGAAAGTGAGCAGATGAACAAAGTCACTGGGGTACATCCTCTGAGGACCATGAATGTCTGCACTAAAGGTCATAGAAAGTCATTCAATTCAACCAAGCAATGTCCGCCCTCCACGGATGTATTTATTTCACTGTTGCAAGCAGTGACTCCTTAATTGTCGGCTTATAAATTGTATAACGATGTTTACAAGCCAAACACTCTGTTTTCTTTGTCTAGACATCAACACTTAAAATTGGGTTTCGGAAAATCTTTACCCGACTTGAGTTTAACAAAAGCTCTGTTTTCAGTGATCTTGAACCCTTTTCAAGACTCAATATTACTAACATACCCATGTTCGTGTGGCGTTAGCTCACAAACACGGATTTTGCCAAGGACACGACAGTGGCCTCTAACAATGTGATTACATTTGCGGTTGTAATACAGGACCAAACAGAAAAGGAAAAAAATGGTCAGATGAAGAGATGAAAGGAGAAGGATGTGTGATAGATGTGGTGAAAGAGAAACGGGATTAGATGCAGACACAAAGAGAGGGATGGAGAGATTAAATGAAAAGCTGATTGGAGGACATGAAGTGATGTGTGATGGCAGGTCAACAAAAGTAAAAGAAACAGATGTCTGGTTATTAATCTGTCTGAGTGATATTGAAAAAGACTTGAAAGGCTCTGACCGTCGTTCCGTCATTGAAACGCATCAGGAGTGAAGTAGCCTCTGGTGCTGAATCTGCCATGTTTTTCCCTATCATTTCCTGTTTTCTACATCATGAGTACAATGGGTTCTTTTCCTTCTAGTTCAACACAAACATGTTTTTATTGTAGGGAAGAAGAAATGTTAAAAGAGTGCATTTGTAATTTACACTACAAATGGATAACTAGAAGAACAATATGAAGTTTCTCATATTTACACATTTGATCATGACCAGGTTCTCTTTCCAAATGACCAAATAAGTAAATCTTCTTCAACAATAATATCTATGGTGCGTTTCATTTTGCTAAGCCGATGCCTGAACTAAAACGCAATAACAATTTGGTTAATCAGCTAAAAAAATGTAATTGAAAGAATCATTAAGTTCTTTGTAGACTCTGAAATCTTCATGTAACCTAAGATAAATCTTTACTTATAAGAGCTATGGGTTGAAAGTACAATATATATTTTTTTTCCAAGTGTCCCACACAGAAGCTATCTACTGTATATTGATCCTTGATTCCAAACAACATGTCTGAAGGATATTCTTTTTTTAGTTTCAAATGTTCTTGGTGAGGTGAGACTTCTGGTTCAAGAAATATATATTTATTTTTCTTTCAATGTGTCCAACACTATGATTGAGAACCAAATACCTGCATAACTAACCTTCCCATCAACCTCAGCTGTACTTTCTGCTATTTATCAAATGCTAGCATACATGTTAAACTAAGTTGGTGAACATTGTAAACAAACTACCAGCTAGTCTTGTGCCATTGTGATTGTCTAAATACAGCTTCACAAAGCTGTCGTCATGGCTGTTGACTTGTTTTGTTATTATAATGTTGTGGATGCATTTATACCCAACAAACACAATGAAGATTGTTTACAGATGTTGACCGGGACTAATCATCTGTGACTACTCTCACCAGCTGGGCTGTGAGGTCATTTCTTTATAATCTTCCTTTTTTAATTATCTGTATAGGGCCAGTTTTGCTGTTCAAGTCTTTCTCTCAGACCTGACGTTGACCTGCAGTCTTTGAACAAGTTGATCCACCAGCTTAATAATCTTTCAATAGCAGCAGCAGATGGTGTGTGTGTGTGTGTGTGTGTGTGTGTGTGTGTGTGTGTGTGTGTGTGTGTGTGTGTGTGTGTGTGTGTGTGTGTGTGTGATCATTTTATCTAAGGCCTAGTTGATCAAGTCAATAGACAATCCTGATCCTACAAGGAATCACAACAGACAGGTCATGATTTCACTTTGAAGGTTGAGTCTGTAATCAACTTCTGTTATTGGATGGACTGAATGTTTTTCTTCTCCTGAACATGATGAACTCCTCAACTTCTTATCAGTAGGTAGGTGGTAGTGATGTGCAATGAATTGGTTGAAAACATAAAGTTGTGTTTTGCTTAAAAGCAGGTCTTATTTCTAGTTAGGAATAGGATTAATTGAATGTGGAGGTCAGCAGAATGATACTTTCTTTCTCATTGACCATGGGTTGTATATAAAAGTAATTTAATTTGTCCCAGAGAGGCATTTCTACTGCTGTTTCGTTTTGTTTTGTAATAGTAAAATCATGATGTGTAAAGCGTTAAGAAAAATGGTGAGGACCTCAAGTGTAAATGCAAGCTGAAACTCACCTCAACAATTTATGAGTTTAACAGGATTTCTTAACATCAGACTTGTAGTCTAATTACAGACTTTCCTTGGTTGGCATCTGTATGCCAATGAGCCAGCATGCATGTATGTTTTGCCTAGAACTATGTTGCACTGCATCCCAGCCAAGAATAGGAAGATATGAAGCATAAAGTGTATTCTGAACCCGACCTTAAAAGCCGGACATCCAATGCTGTGTAAACACACTGGGTTGGTCTTCTTGGTTTAAAGCCTGAATCAGAGGTTAAAAAAGCTATGACGTGTTCAGTCTCTGGGGAGAGATATTTCTACCTTTGACCGAGGTTTTCTATCAAATATTGAAGGTGGACGTCCAAAGATAGCCTTGGTGACACTAAATCAGAGTGGTGGCTCTGCTGAAGCTTGAAGTGACATTCAGCAGTTTGGAGAGGCATGAACTCTATGGTTGAAAAACCTTTTTTTGTGTCATGGGCATGGGTATAAATACTTCCTGGGATGAGGGACACATGTCTCCCTCAAGAAGCTCCAGGTTGCATACTGCTTGGAAAACCAAGGTGGTGCAGTGCAAGTGAAATGTTTTGTAATGCACGAGTCAACACGTTCCATGCTCTCTTGAGAAATCTGATGTACAAATTCATCTGTCGATTGAATGTTTCTCATAACTCTGTCATTATGCTGCTTTCAAATCTGTGTCTCAGTGCTGTACGATACCAGTCACCTCTGTGGAAACATTGGTATAACTGCCTGTTTTAATTCATATTTGAGTGTTGTATGTCTTTTAATAATAGACCAAGAGTCTCTTTAAATAAAGCTGATGATGATGAAAAAATATGTTTAGATCCATACATCTAATGTTCACATGTTTATTTACTCAAGAAGAAGAACGAATATGACACGGATACAAACTTATAGATATCTTACATGGAAGACATTCTCCCCATTTGGTCACATTACAAAGTTGATTATGCTGACAGACAGTTTGATTAGTGTGCCTTTAATCAGAGAATGGTCATAAACATGAACTTTAATAATTTACAGGTTCATTAAGAGTTCTCCAACCCAGAGCTCAGCTGTGTGTGTGTTTGTGTCGGCTTGTTGCACGTGTATGACAGAGGTAAAGACAGAGTGTGTTTGTGTTTCTCTAAGTGATTTCAAATGAATGAACATGTATTTCACTTTTTTATTTTTTATTTAATTTGAGCTGTTTGTGTCAATACCAAAACTACCGTACTATTGAGAAAATGATTTGTATGTCCTAATACATAGTTAGGTAGCTGAAACTACACAAACCAAAACATTTACTCTTTTTGTGTTGTGTAGGTTGTCCACTATTGTCGGCGCAGACCAGATCCTGGTGGTCGACAACGGACAGATAGCGGAGAGAGGACGGTAAGGTTATCTGTTGGGGATGTTATCTTGTGCTTGTGTGACACACCTGAACGATTCTGTGTCTCCTAAGTGCTTGCAAATTTGTTATCTGTAGATCAAAACCTAAGAGTGTGGTTTTGTGTGTGACCCTTAAACCCTTCTGGTGCCTTTCTCAACCCCAGAGGCTGATGGACAACCCCATATCACACACATACACACACACACACACGTCACACACACACACATATACACACACACACACACACACACACACACACACACACACACAACACACAAACAATGGAGCTGCCACTTAACTGTTGATGCGTACAGTCTTTTGATATAGGAGCTGGTAATGAAGACTTCCTTTCTCACACAAACACATGCACGCTCGCACTCACACTCACATAGGCAGTGGGAAGAGGAGACACAAGTGGATTTTCCTCTTTCTGAAGTTTAAAATTGATCATCCAGATGAATATATTGTCCATGTTATTACTCAGGTATTGATAACAGCAGAGAGGAGTTAGTCACATATGGCACTGTGGTTGATGGTAAACATCTGCAGGGACTTTGTTTGTCCCTGCAGGCATGTGTGGGGAACACCAACCAAAAAGCATTCATCTTTTGATCGACATTGTGATGTAAACACAAGATGGGCTCATTGAACCTCCGGTGTCAAAATACACCGATTTCTGCCACAAAGTGTGGGAGTGAAACAGAGACAGGAAGAGGCCTCATCCCGTCCTCAGGCTTTCCCTGTGCTTAACATTCTTTACGAGGACTACGTCTGCGCTAAGATGGCTAATACTTAAAATGCTGTTTGCTTATGAATACAACCTGCGTCCAAGCTTACATGTACACATTATACAAGTGTGTTTGTAGCGATCAACCACACCAACAATGTCTTCTAGGGCAGACACAGCCAAGTAAGTCTGCTTGGATAGTTCATCATTTGTACAATCTCCGCCGGTTTGGGTTATGGGAGTGTGATGATACATCTTTGGAAAACTCAAAGGTTACATTCAGATCATTTATATGGCAGCAAAAAAACGATTTTCTATGTGAAGATATAGTGGAGTAATGGCGTCTCGAACAGAGAATGATGTCACACTCACTGTGTGTGTGTTGCCCTGCTGCTGATAACGCCGTTACGACTAAAGGCATTGTTGTGCCATCGCCAATTTGAGAGCTATGTGGAGGCAATCCCTCAATCATTGATATAATCTGTATTTTTAGCCCCTTTACGATCACAAAAGCCTTATCGTCTCCTTTTTCAACTTTTCTCACATTTTCTGTCCTCAGGCTGACCTCTTGGCCACTTCTTCCCCTCTTTTCCTCCAATGTTTCTCTTTATTTCCCCTACTTGTTCCTAATTATATTTCTGCATTTCCACTTATCTCTTAGTTTCCTCCACATCAACCTCTTCCTACTTCTCTATTTCTGACCCTCGCAGTGTTTCTCTCTCTCACTCTCTTTCCGTCTGGCATTCCAGACAGGAACACACTTGTGGTTTTACTAATTCATAGTAAAGTTGGCTAGTAGAATTTTATACAGCTCAACTTTGTTTTAAAGCAGCTCTGAAGGTACAAGACATTATGAGTGACCCATATTATCCTCTGCCTGCTTTTCCGTTCTATTCCTTTTTTGTTAAAACTAAATTCCTCCTTTTTTCACCATTTTTGTTCCTCACAATAACAGAAAACATTAACATTAAGGTATTATAAGAAAAAGAGATTTTTACAGATGTATTACATTTGTGAAGACAATTTTTATTGGCAATACCAAATGTGCAGGCATGTACCATCAATGCAAAGTCATGTAAAAAATACCATGCCATACCAGTTGGCTGGCTATGTTGTGATTAGTCAACCACTTAGAGATGTCCCGCCCCTTAGCCTATCAAGTACAATGTGTTGGAGCGCTAGCCGAGACAAGATCGAGTGTAACTTAGTGATGTCATTATGTTACAGAAGTAAAGAAAGGAGTCTAATAGAGTGTTTCAGGCAAGGGGGGGGGAGTGTGTGGGAGAGAAACTCCCTCTGGAGGGAACACAGGGATTTTAGCATTTGTAGACCGTTAACATGCGCAAAAACCTATATAACACGCTACAGGTAAGGGAGAACCCCAAAAAGCATAACAGGGCCTCTTTAACAGTTTTGGGATGATTGGCCCTCGTGAGCTACTCCTCTGACTTTTTAGTGATTTTATCCACAGTCTACATTTATGTTGGAAGATCAGAATGTTGTTACCAGAAATGTTTTCTTTCTTGTCTCATCCTATTTTCTTCCTCTGTCCAGACACGAAGAGCTGCTGATGCAGGGAGGTCTGTACGCAGCCATGTGGATGAAACAGCAGAAAACTCACGACACGCAAACAGAAACACAGACGGAGAATCAGACTCAGGACACAATGCGCTGAACTATGTTTTCATTCCACACTCATAGTTATACACATACTTGATTTCTCTCATATGTGATGTTTTGTGATTTCATGTATCTGCACCCACTGTTGACTCTGCAGAAAGAGAAACCATGCAGTTGGTCACAAAATGATAACATTGAGATCATCTCGTCTTTCAAACCTGGTCTTGTTTTCCCTTGCAAATAAACTGCCTTTTCAATCACGGTTCAAGGAAAAATATTGTCTCATCATGTAAAACCAAAAGTTAACATTCCCTTTTATTAATTTACATTTTAACTTAAATAACAATAAACAAGTTCTAATTTTAAGCTAAACCTGGATCTTTTATCAAACCTAATCAGTAGTTTTTATGCATTTTTCATTTGTTTTGTTTGAGTTTGCAACTCTAATGACTGAATGGCATGATATTATAAAGCAATTTAGTTGTATATAATTATTGTGAAATGTATTTAAGCTGTATATAAAAGCCCAAATGTCCAAACCATTTTGATCCGACATTAAACAGATCAAATCCTAGAAGCTCCCTAATGCAAATGTCGAATTACTGTAAGCATACACTGCTGATGTCAAACTGTTGCATATGAATGTAGGAAACAACTAAAACTAAGGCTGCAGCAAACTGTAAAGTTAGCCAACTAACAAACAGCAATGCAGAAGATTTAACTAAAAGTCAAAGTGAAAGGTTCCCTGCAGCAGAAGGACCCGGCAGTGGTCAGGTGTCCTGGTTGTGAAGACTCCACCTGAGCCATTAAAGCTAAAGTGATTATGTTACTGAGGTTGTTTTGGTGAAAACATCCTGGATGGGCTGATATGTGGTGTCAAAGGTTACTGTTTAGAGTAAAACTATATCAGCAGCCTGAGGGCAGGAAAGAGGAAGACAGATGGAGAATGGGTTGTAGCTATAACTTTTGTTAGTTAGCAATAAATGACCCTGAAACAAAAACTGTCACAACGTTTCTCAGTGAAATTATAATACATTTTAAACTGCATTTAAACTGGTTGATTGCTACACCATTGCTACACCAGAACCTACATGAAGCCTCTTTCAGACATGAACCAAGTCATTTTATGTTGGTTTAAAGGGGACCTATCATCCAAAATGCACTTTGTGATGTCTTTTATACATAAGTATGTGTCCCCGGTGTGTCGGGGAACTTACGCAGCGCCAGAAAATAAAACCCTCCATCTTCTCCTCCGTACCCAAATCTCTAAAAACGGGGCTACAATGGAGCTGATCCAGATTTGTGTCCGATATGACGTAATATCGGAAATGTAGGCTGGCTTTAAACCCACGGCCCTATTGGAAACGTTGCTATCAGAAACAATGCCCGACTGTTTTGGACGTAATGTGGCCGGTGCATGTTTACATTAGCATCGCTAACACTCAGAGCTAACCTGTACTGGAGAGCATGGTTGCGTTCCGATAATCCAAAAATCAGCTCCTAAATTCTAACCCTATCTCCTATTCCTTGACCTCTGAGTGAAACGTCACGGGGTTAAGGGATAATGGATAGGACAATTCAAAAGGACTTAGGAGAAGACACTGCGGTACTTTAGAGAATCCGAATGCACTTTCACTATCCGACGTGTTTATGATGCGCCAGCAGACGTCATTGTGTGTGTCTGCTGCTGTGGGGAAACTATGGAAACTACAGTGTTCTATACAACGGACTACATGGATGTTTAATAAGAACGAGGGACTACTGTAAACTCATCTGGAAACTCTGCACCGTGCTCTGATGCTGTTGTTTTATGCTTTATGAACGTGGACAACAGAGAAACATATTCTTCATGACCAAAGTTGTAATTGAAATAAAAAAGGAAAGTGAAATTTATGCTCATCACCCTCTCCC